AGATATTTTAGAGAGAAGTTGCATCAAGGGGAAGAATAAAAACGTCTTGAATTTTTATTTTATGCTGTTGAATTTAGACATATTTCTGCCTCAAAGAGAGCATTTTGAAAATGATGCCAATTACATTGTGAAGATAACTATTTGATAATGACCATATGTAACTTCAGCTTTTTCTGTTTGTTTTTGGTGTGGATAGGCAAGACAGTTGTGAATAAATAGAGCAGAAAACAAATAAAAATACTGTTAGCCATCTTGCAAAAAGAACCTTTTTACATACCATTAATGTATTCTGTAAAATCTCTCCAGCGGTAATGCTTGGAGGACTTAATAGATTTCCCAGTATTGTTTGTTTTCTAATTGGGAAAAATCCATAGAACAGGACACCTCTTAGCCTCGCATATAGCGGGTGCTGATTACCATTCTCTGACTGCTTTGGGTTTCTGCTGTTTTAAACTAGCATTTAAATGGACCATTTGATTAATCATTTGTATACTGACTGTAATCCTCCCAAATTTCCTTTCTGAGTTGTACATACTGTAAGAGACAATTATGTCGCCACAGATTAAATAAGTGAATTAAAGCAGAATAGCGGCTTAATTTGACCTGTGATTTTGCTCCCCTTCCCTTCCGCGGAGCCTGTGCCACTCCAGCAAATAAATGAAGTCATCCATGACAGCTGGTGATGAATTGCCGTATTTATACTGTATATTTTAATAGCCTCACACTAATTTAAATTGAGCACAGAGTAAATTATAATTCAGTCACTTGACTGCTTATATTTAACTTGACAACTCATCCTTATTTGTCCTGGAGGTGTAGTGGCGAGCGGTGGAAAGCACTCAGGTATTTCAGTTTCTCACTTAACCCTTTCTCCACGAGGGTCTCATCTGCACGTTCCCCCGGTTTGAAACACTTGGCGCTTCCTAAGGAGAACAAGAAATAAGGGAGACTCGCAGAGCTGCCCTTCCCTTATTCTGCAAAATAAAATAAATTATTTGCCTTGCTTTTCTCCGTTGACTTCAGATAAGGAATTGGACTTGTTTATTCTTAGCAGTTTTAAAGTCTACTCCCAAGAATGCCCAGGGGAAGTAGAATTAACCTTCCATCCGCAGTGCCAAGTCTCCCAGAAAGTAGAGAGCATTTGAGTGGAGTTATTTTCAGGTAGATTTTACTTGCCCTCTCAAATTCCCGGAAATGACTTTACTCACTTTCCCACCGTTATAGACTCTCGACTGTCCTGGGTGGAAGGAAATAGAAGGAATGATCAGGGGCAGTTAGAGCGCCGTGTCTCGGTGC